ACTGAGATTTTCGAGAAATGCTGGGCCTAGGCTCCTGCATGTCTACTGCCTGTTTAGGTATGCTTGAGCGTCTTTGATCCGCGAACTGCAATTTCGACACTCTACGATTTCTAGGCTAGCATAGGTTTACTAAGTATCACATACATTAAAAAGCATACAAAGCATATTGAATGCTAGGATAAGTAAATAAACATTATTTTGAAAAATCGTACCACCTTTTTTTGCCAGTTATTTCTCACGTTAATGGTGGGCGAATGTTTTCGAAACCATAACATTATTCTTTCCTATACTTTAACACTGATTGCACTGGAAATTCTCCATAGTAATACCCACATAGATATGTCACATGACCGGCTGTAAACAAACATCATGGAATGTGTCTATTCAAATCTTTCCACAAAATAAGAAAAGTTTCTTGCACCTTTCAAAATTTGACTTTTTCATATCCAATAAATTGTTATAATTTATGCTTATAGAGTGCATTGGTGCTATGTGAATTACAGAAATCAAATAAAGAAAAATGATCAACAAATGAAGAAAGTGTAAAGGTATGGGAAAAATTAAAAGCCAAGGCCCAACATAGAGCATACAAGAGGCATGAAACGTCACAGACGCCGATGGTAAGATCAGCCTATTCAAAGGACACTTGACCATTCAAGTCCAGCAGTTTCAGTCACCCCACGGGGGCAGATAAGAATTTGTTAAACAAAGGGAACGAATGATGCACCAAGGTAAAAAATGAGCCTACTATAAGTTGAAAATCTGCGTCATATGAAACCCATTGCACACTGTTGGCATCAGAAAAGACGCTTTCAACATTACGATATGTGTGACAACACATCACTTCTCAATATTCAGACTGCCATTGACGGTCAGTAATCAACACATAGTCTGGACAATTCATCAAGTTTGTTCATGCAAAGATAACCGTGTCATTAGGAGAGGAAATATCTTAGAAGTTCTGTGTATCATTTAGCAAGGGTCCCCTTACATTTTGAGTGAATTAGTATTAGTGCATTATATATGTGTATATATAAGTATAATCAGTTAACTGTTCCCTGGTATAATCCAATTTAAGGCGTTTCATTAATGTAAAAAATCATTTTTGACTAAAACTTTATAAAATTGTTATAATATGAATGGCTGGTATCTGTAGTTACTGGAACAAAACAAAATGGCATCGTTAAATTTTAACTCTGCATTCTGGGATCATACCACTTTTTATACAGGGGTATATAATATGAATGTTATGGATAGACATTTTAATAGAAGAATATATCTTTTATATAAAAAACCTTAAATCTTTCAGATTCTGTGATTACTGGTAATTGTAAGGGTGGAAAATATCTTAATTAATATACAAAAAATTAGTAAATATTGCTGGTAATTAGTTCAAAATTCAGACGTCTGTCTGTAACGCAAATTAACTCAAATGTTTTTTCATGCTTCTATACAATAGATTTTTTAAAAACATATTAACTTATCTCTACTACATTGATAATTACAAAATAAATTAATAAAAATTATGTTGATGTTACATTTTGATTGGCCAATTTATGTTAAACAAGGTTGAAATGAATTATACTCAAGATGTTTATGTTTAGCTAATTTTTTCTCATAAAATCTATCAGTAAATTGGTGGAAATATTTACATTATAAGAATGTTATAACATTATAGTTTGGTGATAAAAACGTTTTTTGTAGAAGTACGTACTTAACCTAATTTTACAACATCACAACTTTTGAACAAAGTTGTGTGAACATTATGCTGCGACATACCTAAGCACAACGTTTGTGTTTGCTAGGATAGGCCTAATGGATGAAAGAATTATGGGAAATTCAAAGAGTTTCTTAACTTCTCTTAAATTTCCATGTTTGCTTTTATTGTTATTTTCTACTCAATCACAGTAACAAATACAACAAAGAAGAAACAAATTAAAAGAAGAAAATCAACCATCACCATTTAGATTTTTAAAAATACATCAAAAGCTCTTTACAACAATTGAAAAGTTAATGGCACAAAAAAGAAAAAACATCAAAAATGAGTACTGTACTTGACTTGATAAGGTGAAGGACACAGTAGCCTGGAATCCTCCTTTGAGTTCAAAGGTCGATATAAAGCAGTCCACAGCTAATTATCAAAGAAAAGATACAAAGGTAAGAAGAATGTCATTTTTACTTATTGAAAAGCCATACTAAATGACCATTACTGTATAAATAAACAGAAAAATGTAAATACAGGACCTACACAAACTTGAAAATATTAGGCCACTCTAGAAACACAAACACAAAACAATCATAAATAAACATATCTTTTGTTTTGTTGAAATGTTAATGGTAAATTTGATTAAGGTCAGTTGCATTGTTTAATTAACCAAAGGTAAGGTGAGAAAGCATCCATACTTGATGTCAAACATAAGTGAATACAATTTTTTCATAAAGAACCTAATTCACCTAGTTGCTACATTGTTAATAATCAGAAACTCCAAGTATAATGATTTAAAAATTGAGCAGACTCAATTCTTCATCAAGTAAAGCTGTTAGAACTAATAGTTATACATGTTACAACATTCCAAAATCTTGTTATAACTTGTCCATCTTTCATCGCAATTAGCGAACTTCATTTTTTTTACGTTCAAATAAGCAAGAGCAATGTGTTATTAACCTACTATCAACTTTGGCATTACAGACAACATGCTTAGTCAGTACTTAATCACACATAATGTTGTCAGTGACCGATTGACATCACTGTGCTACTTTGGATCCACCAATGTACTTTGTTTTTGGCAGTGCTCGTTTGTCAAACTGCTGTAGGCCTACTCCGGATCCACTGATAGTTTTATTATGTTGTTGGCAGTTGCTGTTTGTCATCTCATGATAATAATATAATAAGTAAAGTATGTTCTCAGATTCTAAATTTTCTTCTACTTCAGCCAACATACCATAAGCCTACAAATTGCTAGTATTGTAGTAGAAGTCGTAGTGCAGTGTATTTGAATGTTATATCTCATTCTCATAATGCTGACACTCAACTATTGTACAATATTAAAGTAAAAATAATTCAGATGCATCATAATTCTTTTTTTTTTTCACATTCCTAACATACTGATGGATAGGAGAACCAAATGTAAGAACCATTCCACATGATAAATTCAGGTGCATTGCAAACTGAAACAATAAACATGAATGATGGAACAGATGATAGAGAAATACACCCAAAGGACGGGGAAAAAAACTATGTCACCTGAGATCTGAACTTGTAAAAACTGAACAAACAGGCTCATGACATTAATGAATGCCTCTATGGGTATGCTCAGACCATGCCCTGGAAGCTATCCCTTGACCCATGAAAAGAGAAATATCATCCATGACCTGGGGGTTTATAGTATATACCTTCGGGACTATGGAGCCAATAAGCCTGTCTCCATCAACCTATGCTTATCAACCTTCCATTAGAGAGATTGTTCGTAGATCAAGTGTAAGTAACATGAGATATGCTAGCACAGCAAGATGAATTAATGTTCGGCCACATCTACATTTTAACAAATGACAAAGACAGAAAAATAATTCCAGGGAATAATTTCTTTTTTATGACCATAAATGATATGCACATTCACTTACAGTCTCAGTTGAAGGTAAAGTTCAGATACATTAATAATCTTGATTGCACAGATGCTAAGTAGCAACTCAGGCTGTTTTAATATGACATCAGGATGAAAAACGGATATTACAAAATAGAAATTACTAATTTTATTAAAAAGGATAAATTCTCAAATCTGAATGTCTCCCTCTATGGGCTGATAAATTGCCAAACAAAAGTTTTGTCATTCTGCTTCATTAACAACTGATTCTTTTATCAGATCAGAGTGACACTTTCATCAGTTTACTCTAATTTATTGAGGCCGCATTCATCCCGATACTTTCTTCAAATATAAACATTCTGAGCTCATCATTAACATCATTGGCTATATGATGTAGCATGTACACACAATTTCTAAATAGATGCAAATCATGTAGATACTGAAATTAGGATATGAACATTAATAATGAATATTCAGCAGTAAAATATTTAAGGTATTACTCACATTTAATATTAATATTTAGTTATAAGATCAGTGAATAATACTATTTTGTGTTTCAGCTAAAACCTGTGCAACAGCAAAAAGTAATTTGGGTGTTTAAGCAAACTAAATTAAAAGCAGACTAAAATCCGGTTTTCTTTCTATTGCAAAAACAATTAGTGGTTTAAAAAATATTTGGTTGGCAGTAAAAACAGCCAAAAACAGCTATAGCAAAAACAATTAGCGGTTTAAAACACATTGGTTGGCAGTAAAAACAGCCAAACACAACACATCACTAATAACCTCAGATTTTATATCAATCAAATCTTATCATTTCATATGATTGTCATTTCAAATGACTGACTATTGCCAGAGTTTGCCTTGTTGATTGGCTACTGGCGACTCCCTGATTTCACCAACGTTTCCTCAAAGGATGGAGGCCTGCAAAATGGTTAACCACCAGCAAGATGTCGATCTCTCTTCCAAATACTTTGCTATGAAGCTTTAGTAGACAGAAATGTGTCAATCAATCAACTGGACATACATGGTCAAATATGCTCTGAGCATCTGAGCCATGGCATTTCCTTACTAGTAGTTCTTTCATAATTCACCAGTTTTTGTACATCCTAATTCCATATCAGCTGACACATGGAAAGAATTTTATCTGATTTGTAAATTTTCTTTGATTTAAAAAAAGTAAGTGCGCTGGTCTATTTAGAAAAAAGGGAAGTTAAAATCTTCAATCAAATTATGAAACTCACTACCAAATCATGTTATAAATTGACCTCAAAGATATGACAGATCAACTTTTAACAAAGGTGTTTTAAATGCTACAATTAATTACAATTTATTAAATCTCCTTTTACTTAAAAAAAAAAATTAGGCTTATTAAAATTAAACTTGTGACCTTTAATTCAATGTCAAAAACCAAATAAATACCTTATTAATTGTCCCACTGAAGTCATGGCCTTGGGTTGAAAGTAGATCTTCCTAAAGTGGCATCCATGAAGTTTCTTCCACCTTGGGACCTCTCATGTAGCAGTTGGTAGGAAGGGATTTATTGCATCACCATCTAAAAACGGATCAGAATATACAATTATGATAATGAACTATGATCTTATTACATAATATTCTTCTCCATTACTAATGACCAATGGTCTAACTTGTTGCTCACCTGTTTTGAAGACATATATAACCTCTGCAGGTTAATTCAAATTTTGTAATCATGTGAAAATGGACCATGTAGAAGATGCATTCTAAACAATGACTCATTGTTACACACAAAACATTGTTACGGTGCATGCATGCTAATTGTATTGTAAATGTTTTTATTATATTCATGAAAGTGGATAAACAGTACATCAAGATAGTAGAAATTATGTAATAGCTCATATTTTGCTGTGAAATACAACATTATGTTGAAACTCAACTTGCTTCAGAATCTCACTTAATAAGTTCTTAATAATTTCTTTGCAGACAGACTAACGCGACCTTCGCCCTTCCATCGGACACAAACCAACAAAAGAATTGTATCCAATGCTGTCAATCATAATTTTTCTAGCCTGTGGTTAGGCTTCATTAACTTCCGGTCTGTACCATGTCTAGGGGTTTGAGGAAGTCAAGAGGTGTAGTGATTACATGTACATGGGCTTAAAAACCGAATAGGGTACAGTACACAAATATCCAAGTATCCAAATGATATTTTTTTATATTATTTAAAAGTAAATCATGATTAATTCATTTTGACATGATGTTTTTATCACTGAAATTAATAAATATGAAAGCTACAATAACTATAAATATCTTTTGTTGACTATATTATTATAGTTTTAGTTTACTGTATCTTGTTATGAGGTCTCTTTGTGGAATTGATTTAGTTTTATGGTATGAGATGTGTACCTACAGTATATATTTTAAATAAATCTATATTTTAAGTATGGCTATTAATAATTTATTACTCAAGACATCACCAAATAGATGAGCATCCAAAGATTATTGACTAGACTACTAATAATTAATATTATTAAAAAACAATTATCTTTTTTAATATGCAATAAATGTTACTTTTGCAAGATCACACATATGCCCAACTATTGTATTTGACTGACAAAATTCACAAAAACATATACACAACTATAGCCAGTTCTCATGAATGATTTCAGGAAAAGAATAAATTGTATATTTGCATGATACGGAGTATGAAGCTGAACAGATGTCTGCTGCACCCTCCTTCACCTTCTTTATGCAATTCTACTGCCTTGGATACTGCCAAGCTACTTGCTAGTCAATAATATGTACGCAATTATGGAAAAAAGCAAACGATTTGTCCAATCGCATGTGTGTTTCAGTCATGCGACACAACCACAACAGCAACGTGCAAAATGGTTGACCTAGAATAGAAACTGACCATTGTTAAAAGATGCAAACAGGTGAAAAAAAATGTTTAGAGACTCACTAATTGCTGAGGAATATTAATAGCCTGAATTATATTTTGGAATTAGCAGAATACATCTAGACATTGATAATAGACATGAAAAACCTAATGTGGAATGCTCTGTGTACTTGTATATGGTAGATTCCAAACATGCATAAAATTACATATAATATTACATACATACGTAATTTCTTGCAAAGGAGGAATATTCAACATAGAATAACAGTGAAGTAAGCTCAGAGTCTATTGTATTTAATTATTAGCTTAAAGTTATAATTTTTCATGCCATTTAATCCCGCTTTTAGTGGGAAAAAACTTAATTTCATATTAATATTTACCAATGCATTATGCATGTATCGGCTATCTATACCGGGAATGTCCAAGGGAGTACAGACAAACATACCATTAACCGCCTAAGCTAGTTAGAGGATATTTCATCACATCCTGTGGGTGAAGTTCAAATCTTGCTCCCAATACATTTTCTAAAAAGGGTTCAAAGGCTATGTTCAGACCAGGGAGTTTAGACTAACTTCCAAGCCAGGCGTTACTCAAGTCTGGTGAGAGTCTCACGCCTGTTGTGAATATATTGACCGGACTGAGTCAAGCTTGGCTTGATACTCCAACGACAGCGATATTTCCAATTGCAGCTAGTTTTGTTATATCTCCCTAAAATTGTGGTGTTTGTTCACGCCTCTCTAATTTGGGGGTGGGGGGGTTTCTTTATAATTTCCCTAATCGAAGGGTTTCTCCACATAGCTAATTAAATTTCACGAGATTTAGAAACTAGAAAATGATTGCCAGAATATAACCTATTTGCTGTCAATATTTGAGGATGGATATAGAGTCAGGAAATTATTTTATTTACCCAATGTCTAACACCAGTGATTCTGTCACTCAGAGAGTGTACCTTTCATTTCTATGAGTTGACTTCAGGTGCAGAAAAAACAGACTCGAGGACACACATTTAATTGGATTTGACAGATTCAAGAAAAAGTTTGACCACAGGATCATAATACCTACACAAGAGTGATCTCTGATTTATGATCAAAATTTTTAAAATGGGTCATAGTTCAATTGAGTTCAAAAGCAAGTTTGAAATGATAATATATTAATACATAATATAAATGTGATTGCTCGGTATGATAAAAGGTTTAAATGACTTTTAAATACCATAATAGCTGAGAATTAAAATGAGTAGGTGATATGGTCAGTGAAATACATACAAAAAATATGATCAAATAAATTATAATACTATGAAAGATTTTGTTTTGAATCAATTGATCTCTTATACTGATATATTAATTTGTAATTTACCAGTGAATATTTTCATATTATTATTATATAAAAATATATTTTCTTTATGTTTATTAAGCATAGCTTTGCTGAAAACTGTCAATTTTGTTCAGTTTCATTACACACAGTCTGCCGAATGTGAAAACCTTATAAGCAGACACATGGATTTATCCTATTCTTCATTGTATCTGATAGGCCTGGTATATAATACGCTGAAATAAAATTAATTTACCTAGAAATATTTACATGTTAAATGTTCTTCATTTTTTGCTGTAATAAAATAACCTTATTCAACTGAAATGGTCCTTATGACAAAGAAACCTACCAAAAATGCTATGGTAGCAATAAAGGTAAAAAGTGAGTGAAATGCACTTGGGAAAAGCTACTGGACAAACTCACAGGTAGCTATTGTAGAGACAAACAGTTGATCAAATGCTAGAGACAAAAATAAAATCTAGAAATGAACACAGACACATTGGTAAAAAAGCCAGCAATAAAAAACAACTCTTACATTAAACAAAATATCCGATTTGCGAATAACAAACAAGCATCATTATGTAGTTTAGAATTTTCAACAGTGTTAGTTTTGTCAGAACATGTGCCATTTTGTAATGATCAGCTGTGATGTTACATTTCCTCCATAATGACGTCTGTGTGACAGCCCCGAAAATGTGACAACACATTTAAAAACTGTGATATTTGAAAAGCAAGTTAAATTTGACACTTTTCTCCAGAAATTCTACACATAATCTTCCTCATTACATACACATGATTATTTGTAGCTTTTATAAAAACTGGTAAATAGTATTTTCCACTCATACCACACATTATCTGGTAAATGAGATGAGTTAGATTTATGATAAATCTCATTATAATTGGAAAAGGTTTGTTTGATGTGATTCTAAGCTATGTGGGTAGTAATGAAGGAAAACATTATAGGAGATACAAATGTCATTTATTTAAAAATACAATATGGAAATAAATTCAAACAGATTTACTTTATTTTTCTCCACCTAAGATTACTACTTAGAAGATGGAAATTGCTCACTTTTTACAATAAATAAATGAATACAACATAATGTTAATGTACAAAATATTGTTACAATATAATGTACTGTATGTTCTGTTATAATTTCTTATTCCTGCTGGGTGGAACGAGTATTTGTAATGGCTCGTACATGCTTCTATCGTCTATTTTCTACTACTGTATAATTCAGTTTGGAGCAAATGCTGGTTGTCCTCCAGTATACTCCAAAATACATTGAACAATTCATGGTAGAATGAGTCTAGTGTCTTCCCGCTCTACCTAGTACTGCCTGCCAAATTCAAAGCCTTTTTTATGTTTGGGCTAATAAAAACTAAATTCATGTTATCAGCATGCAGGAGAAGCAGCACTTTTTAGTGTGAATCAAAGGATAAACCACTAAAGACCGAAGACATGTTTTCAGTGGGGTCCATCTTGTGGTGAATTGGTCAGTATACCGGGAGATAATCCCCACTCTTTTCCAAAGAGTGTTCTGTGTTCTTTAACGTGTACATGGGTCATATTGCACACAGGACCAACAGCTTAACGTCTCATCCGAAAGATGGTGTGCTATGATAACTTGTATTTCAGTCCGCCAGGGGAAATACAAGGAGAATAGTGAATAGAACTGAACGGGGACCAAAGGGTCTTCATGGTTCAGTGCACACACTGTGGCTACCACTAGTTTAGCTGACTGAGCTAAGCTGCTCTCGGTAAATAATATGTATTCATTATTATACTATATGATGAAAAAATTATTACAGTATAATATATAGTCTAATGAGAATATAAAAATTTAAATTAATAACAGTACTGTAGTTATATACTGTGGAAATGAAAAATTCATCAGCTGTTTAGGCGAGACTTTTTTATACCCTGTTTAGCTAACCCACCGCTGACCAATGATGAATTCGAATAAAAATAAAATTATATTTTTGGCCAATTAGCGCACCTGCCGCCTCAAAAAAGTGGAAATTTTAGAAAAAAAATGAAAGTTTTTCTTTATCTTTATTATGCTCACCGCTGCGTTGAAATCTCCAAAAATAAGATATGTATATACATTATCTTATTATATAAATTTTATTTTGTTTTTTTATTATTTAACCATCCCATCACTAAACTGTAATTAACAATAAAATTTTATTTTATTTTCTCCTCTGTCTGGAAATTTTTTTTTTCCATTTGCTAAATAAGAAAACTTATTCTATATTTATTTTTTTTTGCCCTCCCCTGCCGATCAATGCGTCCGTGAAACAAGGTATAAAAAAAATCTTGCCTTACATAAATATGAATTAAATAGGAGAGTCTCTAGTAGAAATAG